TATTCGTTCCAGGATAGCTTTTCTGAATTATTGTGCTCGTGCGTTGGAAGTGACAAGTGTTGTCATTGGGAGAATTTGCATGTTTGATCCTTTTACGATACTCTTTAGAATTTGATAAGCATGAGAAGATCGACTGTCATTGCACCTGGGACCAATCGCTATCCTGCGCAAGGGACGACTGTGCGAAGAAAGACGAAAGTCATTGTTATTAGTAACGAGAATTTAGATTGGAATCACCTATAAGATTAAGATATATCGATATAGAGAACTTTTGCCTTGGAAAATTATTTTCCTACTAAGTGTTAATATTAATATCAACAACGGCGGATTTAAACGGTTTACCATAAAGATCTTGTCCTGTTCGGTGATGTAGACAACTTTGTCTGATTCTTGAGATTTCAAGTAAGTAGAGGGTGCTGAGTGTTGACAATTGCGGTGCTTTCCCCAAAGGTGACGGAGGAGTAGATCTAATAGTACGCTTTATAAACTGTGTAATTTTGATCCAACGTTAGAAGATAAAGGTGGAAGCGGAAGGTGGAGGAGTTGTCTTTGAGGATGGAATATCGATCTTTGAAGGTTATTGAATGTGATGGACTGTTACGAGAGGTGCAAGAGGAATCTTTGATGGAGGTGAGGTTGATATGTTCGTAGATGCAGATGGTCGCGTGGTGGTTGGTGGGAGTGGAAGTGGTGGAGGAGCGGAACGGAAAGATGACGAGACTGACGAACTCTGGTTAAAACGTCATTGGTTTTGTCGTCAGTGACTTAGAAGCTGGTGATGACGTAGAGCGACTATGCGAATTTGGAGCTGTTGAGCTCGTAGTGATGAAAAACTAGGACTTGGACTTTGCGAACCTGCAGGCGTGGTGATGGATGTGGATGATGTAAAGGGAGCCGAGAGTTTGCGCTGACTCTGTTGATGGAGCGGACTCCTTACTTGTTTGCTCCTAGTTTTGCTCCTCGTTTTGCTCTTCCTTTTGCTCCTCAGTTTGCTTCTCAGTTTGATCTTCAACCGCAGGCTTATCGACTATCTGCTCCTCGATCATGTCTTCTTCGGTAGGTTGTTCGATGATTTGTTTTCTTTTGACTAAATCTTGGTAGGAATTTGTCCGAGTCGGCTGGTTTGTGAATAGTATGAACGCATAGTCATAGAAGTAATATAATGCATTTATCTTTTTCCCTCCTCTTAAAGTATGATCCAATGACCAAGACAATCTATGCAAAGCATCGATTTTGTAATATTTATTACCTACCATTATCATTGTATGTAATACTGACTACATGTCCATCTTACCGATCCATTCTGTAGGGATGAGTGATTGTAATAGCATAAACTCAGTAAGCCAGTCAATGCGGCAAGACGGTAGTCTGTTACTAGTAGTTCTGCCCAGTTAATGATGTCAGGAGCAGACTATAGGCTATAAATGCTTTCATGGCTGCTTTGTCCCTTCTGATCCAAGTGAATCTGAATATCGAAGCAAGCGCTTAAATACAAATCAGTGTTATTCATCTCTAAAGGCAAAATGTAATGGAAATTGACTAAAATTGGATTCATTACAAAATAAAGGGTGAAGTCAATATTCTTTAGACTTGGTCTCTCAGTATCATGAAGATAATTGTTGTAATTCACTCCTCTAACCGGAAGAGTCTAGTCTACATTTGAGAATGTATGCAAAATTCTTTGTTTGTGTGACCTGGAAGTTCATTGAAGCCACTTGTATAGATTTATAGTAAGCTGTAAATACGTAATTTATACGTACCTTCAACAGTATCAAGGCATTTGAGTGACCTTAGTTAACGGAATGCTTTCCCCCTTGCTATTTTAATGCTTACACCAGGCCATAAGCAAGGACGTGTCGAATGAGTACAAAAACAATTGGAACAAGACATTGTTTGGTGACGAAACGTTTTAATTGTTTGGTGACGAAACGTTTTAATTGTTTCGTAACATAATAATAAAGCATCAGCGTGAATGCGAGGCCAATCCGCCCTACTCCAAAAGATCGAAGTAAAATATCCGTGAAGTGGTTTTCGTGTAAAAGGTAAAACCAGCATTACTTGTTTTCGGCGCATAACGGATATATAGCAATATTGGACCAGCATATTTCCGAGATAAAACCATGCTAAAGGGCTATTGGCTATCACATCCTAATCGTATTGCCCAAGAATTCTTAAAGACAACGTTTTCCGGAGGTTATGGCCTTCTAATATCCGGACATAAATCCGATTGAAACCCTTGTAGAATGCGTAAACCCAAAATTTTAACGAATTAGAACGTTTTATGGGGACGAAATTCCGAATAACCTTCGAGTAGTTTTGTAGAATCAATGCCACGGCGTTATAACGAGGAAAATGGGGAGTTAATTTTTTTGATAAAATCCACTGATATTTAGCTTCAAAACGATGCGATGTTAATTAGGTAACATTCTCATTTCAATTTCCGGTGACGAAAGAAAATATATAGGCGACCTTTATCCCATCATCTAGTTTTTATGTTGACGTTGTGTATTAATATCCCACGGATTGATCTAATCCACAGGTAATAAAATTATTATATGATACCCATCGCGCTTAAAAATTAAATAACAAGCCATTCATATTCAGGCTAGGTAAAGTCGTCCATTGAGCAAATACATAAAAACGGAGCACGAATATTAAAAGACAATAAATTTTATTATTTAGTTGGTTTCGAATGAACAAGTGACACCCAATCCAATTAATAAAATAATTTAATACTTGAACAAACAAAAACAAACCAGCTTAAGAATATTTGGATGCCTTTGACTAGTCAAAACACTAAGTCAATGTTTTGCCCTGTTATATAATTGGAGTTTACACCTCCTTCGACTCGGTAGAATAGTAAACGCTGTTAATATTATTCCGTAAATTTTCTTACTTTAGCGATTGACCAAAAGGGCGTGGGTCGGCAATCCATAAAAATAGCTGCTGGGCTATGTATCTGGAATTAGGAAGCATAAATAATTTAGAAACGTCACTTATAAATCACGCATTCAGTCTTAATTGAACCATCGTTGTAAGAGCGACGATGGCTGAGCTAAGTAGGTTAAAATTCCCTTGTTGGCTGAACTGTCTAAAGTTTGCTCTCTCGCTGACCGTAAACAAACTATATAAAGTATATTTAAAATGTTTTATTACTTAGTAAAATCTCTTTAGATGTGGCGCAATTATGCTTCACTTATTCAGGCACCAATTTCTCCACGTTAGAACGTGTAAGTTCTGATTGCACAAAATAGAAGCCATTTTGTTTTGTCAATAAACAAATGTCAAGTTTATTTCGCGTTTCGTATATTGGTAGCACTGTTCGTGTAATATCTCGATAGGTTGAAACGTTTACTATTTTTCAGCCCTTCTTTTAACGCAAATTTATAAAACTTAGTTATGTATTTTACATCGTTGTGCAATTTTTTTAATAGAATTTTTTCGTATATTTGCGCTTTTGTTGGTTAGAGTTTCAATCTTTCACAATTTTTTTTCAATAAAAAAAATCTAGAACATGTATTAAATCGACACTGCCAGAAAGTTTAATGAAACTTACGCACAATTACATAGTATAATTCGGGTAATTCGTAAATTTCTGGAAGGCACAAAAGTTCAGTAATAAAGTTCTAAATTATAGAAAAAAACAAGCAAAAGTTCGGTAGATTCAAGATCTCCAAGATTTCATTATCATGTGCCATTGTTTGTAGATATTCTTTTCTGGGTAAAATTATACTGTCACCGTTGACGCCAGTACATCAGCATTTTTGTCAATCGGGTCGATTTCTTGGGGAGTAAATTTACCCTTTCATGAGCTATTTCATTCATATATAACTGTATGTGGGATCGATTGTTCAACTTGACTAAAAATAGTTTCCCATATTAATACTATAATATAGAAGAGCAAATTATCAGCTGATTTGAATATTTATATCAGAACTTTTCGTTGTCACGTCAGCGAGAAAACCACATGAAGCCGTCGACTTTAGCATAAATGCAACAATTAGTCTTTTTTTTTTTTTTGAATCCTAAAAAACGTAACTGGGCATTACTTGTTAAGGTTGAGAAGTGTATTAATATAAATCTAATAAAAGCCATTATTTTGTATGTTGTGAGATAGTGTTAAATTCCATTATTTCCCAAGTCGCGTCACAGATAACATTGATTGGATATAAGATTAAAGTTTTAGTGGTCTTACAAAAATTCATGCTCCAGACTTTGCCAGGTCTCCAAATTTGCAACGGTATAGCAGTCAAGACTTCATTTCACACATTCGGAAACTCCTAAGAATGAAGGAGCTTGTTGGAGTCTTGGTTTGATCAATATAAAATATAACAATAGTAATAGATTTCTATCACTACGTATACAACATATGCTTGCTTGTTTATTTAAATCTAAATATGCATTTCTAGCAAGAGACACTATCTATTTAGGGAACAACGTCTTGAATGATTTCAAAAAAAGTAATATATGTTTAGTAATCATAGAAAGAACGTAAAGGAAATGGGATACGGATATGTGGTCTTATGAGAGAAGTTAATGAAATATTGTAGTGTTGCGTTATTGAATGAGGAATAGATTATGATTGACAAAGTCATTGAAAGTATGAGAAATAAATGTGAGCTATTTATCTTGTAGACAGTTTTTGGCGGAAACTTTTTCTAACAGTAGAACACTTCACCGAGAAAGGATACGCGTTAGATAAAATTAAGCTTTTATTCCGTCACAACCCTTCCCCGCATGGCTGGACAAATTCGAAAGCGAAAGCAAGTTTGACAAATACCTCTAAGCAAAGAGGCTCGTTTATTTGGTATTGTCAAAAAAGTAAAGTATTCAAAAGTACCACATACACACACATTCACACACACACAAAACGGCCTATCCGTCCAAACACATCTGCGGGAAACCAAGCGTGTCTACATTATGACGTATTACCTCCGCGGAGGGCTAATACCAAGTGTAGAACAGAGCCACCTTCTATACAGTAATCGGTTGCGGTTTTTTCATCAACCCTATGTATTCATACGGGACACAAGTGATTTAGTATTTTACAAGAATGTATACAACTGAGTAACAATTCCACAAAGTTTTAGCAGCACTGAATAAAGAAAACATTCCTAAAGACTGATCTGACTTGAATTATTCCCGCCAGTTCAAACGTTGCCTGTTGAAACCAAGGGACATGTACAGATCTACGAAACTCTCTATCGAACCCCGCATACTTACATTTGTTTGCCACCGAAAATGAGCCGTTGTTGAGCAGGAGGAATGCCCTCTTTCTCTTCCACTCGCTCTTTAATTCGTGTAATCTGTAATAACACGTGAATTCCATGTGAGTAGGTGGATTACGTTTCTACATGTCAAGCACAGCAACGAGAACTAACCTTATCGTTAGGCTCAATATCGATCTCAATCTGGATAATATGTGGTTGGTTTCATAAGTATTGCGACAAAATTTAACCTTTACAGAACTAAAACCACTCAATCATTCGCCGACAAACTTACTTCCTTGCCTGTGAGCGTCTAAAGAATATGCACAGTAAAAAAAGGGAGCAGGGTTAAGCACAGCAGTTGAGTATGCGGGAAAAAAGTTCATGTTTAGACGCTTTGCATACTACTCACTTTTACTTTGATGAGCATTTTGAATAGAATTTAGGTTATGTTTATTCAGATGTGAGACCAAGCGATGAGTTGGGCAAGGTAAACGGTAAAGAGGAGTGAAAGGTGAAAGAGGCAAATATACATTTTGCCGTCTCTAACCTTTGTGATTACGAAAATTGGATCACAATACACGTGATTTGGTAAGACAAAGAATCATTATAGACTATTCTCTATTCTGCAAGCCTCATGACAAAAATGGACAAGACAGCGTTTATAAATGTGACAAAGTATTGACTGCGCTGTTTATCATTTGCGTTTCTCACCCAAGAGACTTTTACGAATTACAGTATGTTTGTCCCCGGTTAATATGTCCAATATATGATGAAGCATAAACTGAATAATAACTTTCTAAAGGAAGACTAACACAATATCTAAATACAAAGAATGAATAAAATCTATTATGAAGCGCTGACTCCCACCTCTTTTTTTCTTCTTCCAGGTCCACTAATGTCACGATGTAAGTGAATATAAACAAACTAGTCAACTAAAATGAGTATAGTCTATGAGAGAATGTCCAAGTGATAGATTGCTAACTCGCTATAATACATATACAAATTGCCGTTTACGACAGTAGAGTTTCACATTGACTGGCAGATGAGAAGGTATAAAAAAATTGCTTCCACAGTTGAAAGGCCGCAGTTAAAACCTGCAGTATACACACACACTAATTCGCAATGAAATGTGACCTTCTATCCTGCTCATGCCGATTGCTCATTCCAAGTCAACGAATTCCGTTAACCATACATGCTGCCTAACATTTTCAAGCGTCGCTCTCCTTTGCGGATTAGGTTGTAATAACCTATTTACTAAATCTTTTGCATTTCGACTAATATTTCCTCTCCTTCCTGCTTCTTTATCGGACGGAAATTTGTAGTCGGCACGCGCTATCTTCCCAAAGAAGTGCCCTCTCGTCTGCCCTCGCTCCAGGTTAAACGGCAGATAACCAACAAGTAAAGCATACAACACAATACCCAATGCCCACATATCCGTCTGTCTCCCGTCATACGGTTTTGCCATGATAATCTCCGGCGCAGCATATTCTTCCGATCCGCATCTAGTAGTTAGATGCGGACATGCCGGGTCTATGAACCGGGCTAGTCCAAAATCGGTAAGTTTTATTTTCGGTCCATCCGGAGATGGCGTCTTACGATCGAGAAGAATGTTTTCCAATTTTAGGTCTCGATGAACAATGTTATTGTTGTGAAGGTAGGAGACAACGTCCAACAACTGAACGAATATACGACGAGCGTCATTTTCGTCCGTCTGATCATAATAATCGGCCACATATTCGAATAACTCTCCACCCGGAACATACTCCATAATCAAGCAGACGTGAGTTGGTGTGTCGACTGTGTCAATCAATTTGACTATAGATGGATAATCGATGGATCTCAAAATCTCTATTTCGCGCTGCACGCATACTCGCAGAGGGTCATTGTCTTGCATCCCCTTCGTTGATGTCATCTTTATAGCTACTTCTTCTCCATTTGCCAAATCGAGTGCCAACTGTACTTGCGAGAACGATCCTTCACCAATTTTGCCTTTGGTTATGGCAAAGCGACCAATCATCTCAGTGTTACTCGGCAAATTATAACGAGCCAATCGATTAGCAAGAGCAATATGTGTCAAATCGTTATTGACATGGTTGTAGTGGTTGCCACTATTGCTAAAAAGTTGCTCGCTCAATGGTGATGAATGCGTGCGAGACGAAGCCAAGTGATGTGGATAGTGCGCGTTATTCTCCGTTGATGTCTGCTTCCGCACGTGCCGAATATGGTGAGTGGTCGGCAAATCTACGACTGAAGTAGCTGGACTGGGTAATGTAGCCAGTGCATCTTCGTCAGATGCCACTTTCTGATGCTGTGATTTTTTCAATTGGACCGATTGCGATTGATCTGATGAGAAATTAGTTTTCAATCGGGCGAGACTTGACAATTGCTGTCGCTGTTGAGAACAATCAGAATGCTCTATTGGTGTGCTAGCTTGTTGTTGTATACCGGGAGTGGATGATTCAACGGCAACAGATGGATTTGGATATGAGTGAGGAAACAGATGATTTGACGGTGAACAGAAATTTTCTTTATTGATAGCATCAGAGCCGGAGTATCTCGACTGGCAGTTGGGTTCGCTGTATGAATGCGGGGGCAATGAGGGTCGTTGTGCGGGCAGCATATTGGTGTTATTGTAGATGTTGCTGTGCGCTCGTTTATGTATAATGTCCGTGGTTAACAGCATTCTTTCATACGCATACATGGATTGATTGTCTGAAGAATCAGAAGGAATAGCAGGAGTTGATGTGACAATCAAATTCTCCATATCTGTAGTAGATAACGGTTGATTGTCGTTTGAATGATTGTTATTAGTATGTAGAAGTTGACTAGACTGTCTGTGTTGTTTCCGTCGTTCCGGTTTTAGGATGAATTTGTCGATTGATCTCTTGAATGATTCGCCTTCGGCTTCTAGTTGAGTGCAGGAATTCGGGGCTGCTTCTATCATGCTTTATTGTAAGAACGCACTCTGCTGCAAATATGACTGTAGGTTATGCTTGATTTACCTCTTAATAGAGTATATTGCGATGAATGTCAACACTATTGAGAAGAGGAAAGCATGGTCAAGTATTTAATAATAAATAAGGGTAGTGGTGTTTTGGGAGGGGGGGGTGGATTAATGCGATACATAGTCTATAATGAATAAATAGCATATGTACACTAGCTCTACTGTTATATTACCTTTTCACCTAAAATGATTATGTATTAAGTAGGAGACACTGTGAATTTCAGTTTTCGGCGAAAGTTCAGCGCTGTAATGGAAAACGAGAAAACAATAGCATAAATAAACTGGCTGAAGGAATTTTTTTGTATATGAGTCATTCGAGGTCAGGCGTTTGTCAGCTGATTGGCAAAAAATCACGTTTAATGATCTATTGTTATTATTATATTATACCTTCTTTTTGGGGTTATCAAATTGGCAAATTTCCGATGTGATACGAAAATTAATACTAACGGTTAATAGGAAATGGTCGACTAAATACAGCCAATCACGTGAAGGTAATTAAAGCGTGATCAGATGAAATGGCGAAAGGAAAAAAACCATTTGGGGATGTGCAAATAGGGTGAGCAGCAACGCCACATCTATTCGATAGATCTTGAAACAAGATAAGCAAGCAATAATAAATAAGTAATTTTTTAGAATATGACGCCCTTTGTCTTCACTGCTAACAATTTAAGGGGTGGGTTATAAATTCAATAAACGTGGGCTGAAGGGATGTCAAATCAAAAGCCGCAAACGGTAATGAATTAATCTTCAATTAAAAGAGTTTGTCTGACATTTATTACCGTTAATTAACGATTTTCAGATCATACTGCATTAATATTGATGTCAAATACCAAAGCCAAAATGTACACACTTTAACGAAAGAAGCAGTTGTGCACCGAGATTAAACATAAACTCAAAATCGCTAGGGTCCAAATGTTACACCGTTAAACTTAGAAAACGCAATGCCAACCCTGAGAACACTGCAGGACTGAGGAAAAGGAGTTGCCTTGAATGTAATAGTGGTGAAAGAAAACGCAGTTGGTTCTAGTACATGCTTAGAAAGACATTGTTCTCCTACCAGACAATTATGAACATCGAAAAATCGTTAACGTGGTGATCATCCCCTTCATTTGTGCGTGCTGAATAGTGGCAAATGATTCGCTAACCTCAATTATCCATTAATACCGGCATTCGCATAGCATGCACCCCATATCTACGCTTTGGTTTGGTCTTGTATGTGCGCACGTTGAGTAATTCCTGTTCCCGTTGGTAATCTTTGAAAAAAAAAGGCGCACAATCCGCTTGTAAAATACCTCCATAATGTCACTCCTGGTAATTTACTAAAAAACATCGGAATGTCTACTCTATATTTTATCCTTACTTTCAAAGACCGCGTCTATTTATTTCCAGATTGGTGTGCTTATAGAAATGGAGGCTTAATGCTTTGGTCGGGCGTCGGTCAATTCGTCTCAGATACATCAGTTGCAAATGACTGATTGAAACTGAAGAACGAACTCAAGAAAGCCGCGAATCGTAATGTAACTCTTACCCGTCCGAAATGTATGTTATTGCATGCAAAAATGTGACCTATGAGATACGTCAAGCACACAGTGTAATCTAGAATTTTTTTTTGTAACATTTGTTTATTTGAACTGCTTGTTTATAGGAATTTTTCACCAAAATTAGTTCCTAAATCAAAGACTTCCGGGCAGAGGCTAATCGTGAAGCTATACACACTTGTGTAGAGATTCAAAACGCGAGGCCGTTCTCACGTCGTTTTTGACACTTTTGAATCAATAATTTTCTTTTTTTCACGACGGCGAACGATCCATGTCCCAATCACATGCCAAAGGGTCGAACAAATCTCTTTATCTTCGCTTGGGAGAATTCTGCATAAATGGTAAATCAATTTTATACTATTTTCCCCGAAATAATATATGTAAACATTTTATGGAGACATGTCCACGGAGAAGTTATTGACCCAAAACAGACCATCGGCCCAACTAAAGACTTTATCTAACAGAAAATCTTTGTTTATAGTGTTACGACTACGACGGCGTGCGTTTATTGGGTAATACGATCAATGAAACGCGTATTCCATACTATTCAAGTCTGCTGGATTCATCGTGTTTTGCACCACTACCATTGGTTTTGCATTTCGTGATTCCAGTTTTATTTCTTACATTGTATCTATCTTAATGTCAGATCGATTCTCCCTTAACTTTAGTTTCATAATTTATTAAGTTAACAACAGTTTTACTGTAAATTCTACTTTTCATTATGATCATTGGTGTCTGTCTTATACGATTTCACACGTTTACTGCTGAGAAGAAATAGCCATGTTAGTTTGAGAATATTATCACTATGTGAAACAACTTTCGAGCTGGAATATTACAGCATTCACATCTCAATAGTAATATCAATATTAATATTGTGCAGAAAGTTAGAAATAATGCGATTCTCTTACTCTGTGCTCTAATTGAAATTTTAGTTACAATTAGAATTTATTATTAATATTAACGCCATTACCACTAATATTGCATCAAGTATTTGTTTAACAGTATTAATATTAACCAAAGTCATAAATTTCTGGAGAATTTTACTTTTCGGTGACGTCATTGCGTAGTAATAGTGTTCGATCAGCAAATACCCATGGTGCGGATACCTGTTCTCCCGCATACTCTACAACCATGGCTGAATCAGCTTCCCGAGCACGTAAAAACGCAAAGAAGAAAGATCCAGTAGACGACATTCCAGAAGAAGAGAAGATCAGACTGATTAAAGAAACTGGGTTGCTGAAAAACTTTGAAAAAGTCGAATTTAATCAAACAGGCGTCGAAGACGAGTACTATGGCTGGACGTTTTTGGCGTTTCTGTACACCATTCCACTCTGTTCAGTTTATTGCGTTATGGACATTATGGTGCACAGACAGTATAACCAAGATGTTGAGTTTATGCCATTCTTTGTTAGAGTTGCAAAAATGTCTCCTAGTAAGTGTGAAGCATTAAAAGTATCTAGCAGCATGTTGAGTGTCTAATTAAGATCTTTTCTCATTCTCTTTACCCTACTTACTTCTTTAATATCTAGTTCTCTGGGTTTTCGTTTACTTTAGCAACAAGTATTGTCACCGTCCACTGGTCCAGTTTGCAATGTTTCTAGGTTCGATTTTTTGTGGATGTTACGTCGTTTATCTACTTCAAAAGGCTCCTTACCTCGGAGTAATGCGACGATGTCCTCCATTGTCTACACTATGGACTTATTTCGTCGCTCAACTACGATTACCTCCCGCTGTCCTTAGTCTTTTATCGGTGCTTGTATATTATTATCTGTACTTTTGAGGTTGGAAAAAGAAAATTACAATAGACTTGGATTTTTGGTTTGATTTCATAGATCTAATTATGCTATAATCAATAGAGTAGATATATTTTTTATGTCGATGAAGATGAACCGTTTAAACCGTTGTAGCGTGGCTTGCATTAATTTTGTTAATAGAATGTCTGAATCAATGACTGCTTATCCTTGTTAAACAGGTTTATTAACTGGAGCAAGAATTTACAATTGCGATCCCGTACATTCAATTGTAGAGATGAGGGAAATACGCAATGTTTACATCAATTCGATAACTACGTTCAATAAACGCATTATCTCATTACGTGACATAGTTAAAAAAGAAAATAAATCATATTCTCGGCCTTTGGTTTGATCCCTTATTCGCACGAACCACCGACAATCGTCTCTCCAAAAGCGAATTCTCCCTCTGTCGCACGTCGAGCTCTCTCCGTAAGATGCCATTCTCCCGCTGCACCAACTCGGCTTCTCTCATCGACTGTTCGGATCTCAACTTGAATTCCTGCAATTTTTCACGCGCTTCGTCACGCTCCTTGCGGTATCGAACAGCAAGTAGCTCTCGTTGACGTAGAGCTTCTTGTAGTTGAGCCAGAAGATCGGTTGGGATTGATGAGGTCGGTGCTATGGGTGAGTTGAATGACGTCTCTGAATGATAGGTAACAGACAGTGTAGTGCGTTGATCCGGAGAAGACGTGATCTGAGGCGTTCGGGGTGGAGTTGTAAGATCGACCAGTGGTGTCGTAAGATCGACTAGCTCGGTGGGAGCGGTGATTCTACGGCTTTTCGGTAGAGGGCTGAGTGTTTCAGCAACAACGCAAGCCTTGGAAAAGTTTAATAATTCATTGTTAGCTGCTCTAGAGCGGATAGGAGCAAAGTGGTATAATCATTGGTACCTCTTCCCCCCCTCTATTGCTCCCCTTTGCTTCTGCTTCATCCTCGTCTTGTGCTGCTCTCTTGCGTCCTTGAGATTTAGGCGCTTTGAGAGGAGAAATGGGTGACTCCTCTATACTGCTTTCTTTATTAGCCCATTCGAAGAATTTACACCTATTGTCAAAATCTGTTCCAATCTTATGACAACCCCAAAATAAACGTCCTTTATTATATGTATCAGCAGTAACTCTTCGTAGACTCGCTGCAACCCCGCAGTTACAAATTTTATTATTATCGGCAGTGTTGTTAACCTGTCCCATTCCATTGCTATGAACTAGAGATCGAGAGGTGGTAATTCGGTATTCCGATACCATATTGAAGGTAAAAGAGAGTGCTAGACTATTTCACAGTGCTTCTAACAGTTCTATTTTCAAGATTATTTATGACAAAAATCAGAATGTTGGGAATAAATGGACATAGCACTTGCACGTGACAATTACTGCGCCCCGTTCAGGCCTCTATTAAATCAATTTCTACTTGTTCGCGTACATATTAAATAAGACTCTATCATTCTTCATTGATTCAAGCAGATCTAAGTTCCTTCTTATTATTAGTCATAATTCTTTGTAATGCATGATCAGCCTCAGAGACACAGTCTGCAAATCCGATTTTCTTTGCATGTGCTCTTGACTTCTCATAGAAATTCTCAGCAGAGGTCAAATCACCTGTGATCTAAAATAAATAAATTGTTTATTAAATTACTCTTCACATCATCCGACCATAATATCATCGGCTCGTTTTTGGCCGACACAAATTCGCAGACTCTTACCTCAGAGATCATTCCCAGATTAAACAATAGTACGCCATAGCTTTCTTCGCATTCTTGATTACTCTTGCGCTTGCGCTGAAACTTTTCAACAAGTTTTAAACCCCTCTCTGCCCATCCTCTTGCCTCTTGGAAATTCCCCATACCATTAAATACTTCTGATATGTTATTCATGAGAACTGCAGAGTGACACGACGTCTCAGGCGGGTTGAGCAGAGATAATGCACGAAGATATAGCGGCAATGCATATCTATTATCACGGGAAGAAAACATTAGTTAATTTCATCAGACCAATGTAGACCGGTTGAATCAATGTGCATATCAAGTAATTCCGCATGCGATAACAAGCTGGATCTATTTAAGGGATGACTTACGCATACTTATGCCTCGACGAATAAAAAGCACCCAAGGCCTCCAAAGACGCACCCAAATCCGTAGCTGTCAACCAGCTAGGTAATGGATCAATATCCAATTTTTTCCCAAAAAACCACCCTCCCTTCCCCGCATCCTCTCCTCTTGCTTGTCGTTCCATGATGGTCGCTCCCAGTAGTTGTTCTACAGACCATACATAATACTTCTCTGCCTGATCGTCCTGCTTCAAATTATGATGCAAATCGCCCAACTTCTGCGCTAAGCCTATAGAACGTAAGCGATCATCTCCTTCCAACTTCACCAAAACGTTGTTATTGTTCGGTGTTACTATAGCGTCGTATGCCATGGAATACACATCGATCGCATCTCGTGTTTTATCAAGTTCTTCGTAGACGCTGCCCAGTTGGATCATAATGCCAGTGACTTCGGGTGAATTGTTTGGCAATGAAGGGTCGTTTAATGCTTCAGTCAATGCTAATTTGTAATATTTGACAGCCGTGGTCAAATCGTCACCGTAATGTTGGTAGAATAAAGCTTTGCGTAAATGGGCGCGAACGTTTTCAGGGTATTTATTCACGTTCGAAGTATAGAATTGATATATTCCCAGTGCCGTTAACCCGGTAGAGAGAAGTATTAGAGCTATTGGAAAGGGATGGGCAAAGTTCTGACGAGGTATTTGATAAACTTTTCTCGATGATCTGGGAGGTGGTGGGTTCGGCTGAAAAAAGTCGGAAGACGAAGATGATGATGACGACGGGGAGGGTTCTTCCAAAGGTGTTTGTGATTCAGATTTGGGATCAGAAGATTCCCGTTTATTTAACGAACCCTGTTGTAAATCAGCCAATGATTCTTTAGAGCTGTTGAACACATCATTTGGCGCTGTTGTATGCGCTTCCGTCTTCTCGGGCATCTCCTCCTTTATTGTATTTCCATTAATTATCTCATCATTTTTATTGACGCTACCAGCATTATCTTCGAGCCTGCCCGTCTCTTCACTCTTTTCGGTGGAGTAAAGCCTCACGCCTCTACCCAAAATCCATTCAATATTTTTTCCTTCCCCTACTATTCTCCTTCTTGGTATTAAATAAAAATGACGTATATTATTTCCACTTGATACACACGTTAATGCAGTTCGTAAAGATATTTGTGTTTGCTTGGTCTGTTGCAACAGTGATCTTGCGAAAGCCATCAAAAAATGTGTCACCGAGGCCGTAGAACTTTTCTTCGATATTTTCGTCCAATCGGAGAATTTACAATAAAGATCTATAAATCTAATCAGGTAAAAGCACCCCCAAGATTACCTAGATTAACCGCATAACGTACCCCTACCCATAATTAATTACATAAGTATACAGCCATTATGCGAACACAAATAATAGTACGCTTACTGTTGTAAGCTATCCCTTAACGCAGTTGTGGGTTATACTTTACGTAATGATTTACCGATCATTTTAATAATGCCGATCCGATCCCTATCACCCTCACGTGCTTATTCACGGTAGTATACGTTGGAACCTTCGACCAAATCTTACACAGGTGGAGAATTTATATACTGTATATCTAAATTGTTACTATTACTGCGGAATAGCTGTTCGAAATCTAAATGGTTCGAGTGGGATGATATTGATATTAATCTAAATTGCTATTGCTATTATTAAGTTTGCCATATTAATATAATGCGGACAGTAATCAAATAAAATAGGAAGATTTTATAACTGCCTTGATGAGAATTAACAATGTGCTTGATATGAGTCTTGCACTATATTTCCACTTCATATGAAATTCTCTGATCAGATTCTGACCTGCATCTGATTCATCTTCATTTATTAATACTGTAATATCTTGTAGCGGTAGTCGTACGTTAATTTGGAATTTGCTTTACAAGAACTTAAAGTCTATATAAACTAAACCGTCAAGACTTAGTCATCGAGAGGCTATACTGCAAAGGTAGCAAAAAATATCACAAATACTTGAACTTTGTTTGTAAAAAGTGACGCAGATAATAACAATAGTTAAAATTAACATTAACTGTCGATTCTCGTCATCTATAAGTCCGCGAGTAAAATTTTTGTTATGCAATCATTTATGAAATGCACGTGAAAATAACGCCGCGTTACACATTAGTAAACTTCGTTAAAGTATACCAACCCATTCACGAATTGTAGGTGCATCATCAGTGAAACTGGTAAGCTTCAGCCCCTTCAACCTACGTGCTTGCTCTTCTAGTGCACTCTGGGGAGTAAACACAAAAAGTAATTAATATAAAGCTCTGTGGGATCTGCTCTACATATACATGCACAAATGGAAGCATTACTCACCACGAGAGCATAAAGGAGTTCAAACACCTCCAGGTATTTCTCAACCTCATCAAAACAAAATGGTATTGTTGCCGATTTGATCTGAGATAAGCTGTAGGTGTACCTTCCCTCCAAGTAAAGCCTGCTCAATGTTATTCGATCACCTATGTATTTGTCAGAATAAAGTTTAACATCATTTGAAAGAGTTTCTATTTCATAATACTACTACTACAGTCAAAGCTCAAAAAAACTGATAACTCAAAGTCAAAAAATCAATACTTTTCAGTTCCTGAAACACTTATGTAAATATTACTCATAAAACTGATAGCATATATAGATCTTGCAAACACAATAAATACGAATTAACAATACTAATACTAATACATCTATTGAATTCAAAAACTGATAGTAATAGAAAAAGGTGAAAACAGTAACCTATAACCATCAGTTTTTCAAGCTTTGACTATTACTATATCAATATATAGTGAAATACATTACCAATAACCTGAACCATGAATGTGCTGACATTCCTAGCTGCCTTTGCACTCTTATCCAAATAGTCCCACAGCAGAGACACTAGCCCAAAGATGGCTTCCTCGATGAGCTTTTCTGTGTCATCATTCGCATGCTTTTCTGTCATGCTTTCAGGACCTCCTGAAACTTCAACAAATATAAGTTCCTTATTGCTTCCAAGTTTCATCCCAATCCCATCTGCTTTATGGGCTGTCATGTCAAACTCTGCAAACAACGCCTTCGCATCCTTGATGCTCTTAACCTCCGCCTCAATCCAGTCAAACGCATACTCCTTGTATACAGACTGGATTGCCTTAAAGAGAGGGACAATCCTTTCAACTGTATACTTTCTTTCGCCAATATTCCGGTCGAGTATTGCCTCACTAGTCATTGAAAAGCTGAATTGAAATGATGTGAGTACATGAGTTGTGCCACAACATGCAACAGAACTGACTTACAAGTCGCCAAGGATTATCTGGCAGACTCTCCGAAACTGATTATGACTGGTGCTTGCTTCAGGTCCCAGAGGAGTCATTATGGCCTGTTGGAAGTCTTCTTTTTCAGACTATTCATGCAATAGTCTTTTAATGTGTGATCGATTCATGCTAAAAACTGACTTAAAGTAGCTTACCAACAGTACACTCAATAACCAGTTATGCAGTACACTTGCCATCACTGCACATTGGCCACCTTCTGTGCGCCTTAATATGACACATTGTTTATTGACAACAATTTTCGCATGTTTATGTAAATACCGCAAGGCATCCTTGTGCAGCATCGGCTTCTTTGGGCTGGTAAAGGTTTCACTATGCGAGCTCAGTGACAGTGGCGTTGGCGATAGTGGTATTGGTGATGGTGTCCTCATCTGATCAAACTATGTGTTACAAAGGTTGCTTAGCGAAAAAACCCATGAGTATCTAATGACAACTTACACCATCCGATTCTTCAGCATCTTCAAGAGCTGGGCGCTTGCGTGTGTCGGACTCGTCTTGCTCAATCCTTCGCTGACGTTAGCATAAATGATTTTCCAATGTTAATCACAGTATTATTATTGTTTTTTTAAGGAAAACTGAGAATTCATATCAATATCAAGGCGAACCTTGCTGGAAGAAGCATTATTGCAACAAACTTCACCCGAACTCGACTGTATCCCTTCCTGTCTGATAGTTGTGAGAGCGGAATGCTTCGGCCAAAGCATTAGCATTAGTATTAGACCAATCCATATTAACTGAATAAAAGAATTCATACCTCATAGTGCGTTTTATCTCGTTCTTCCCAGAATGAAGCCACCGCCCGGGATTTCAAGAGCTTCTGTAGATATTATACTAATATTAGGGCAGATTCATGGCAACTTGTGCCAGCGTCTGCTTACCTTGAAATCTCCAAGAACTGACAATGCTTTCGACCTTTCATTCCCTTTCCCTTTGCCCGAGATCGCTCTCAGCTTTCCTTTTAGGGCTCCTTCTACCATTTGACGATCCGCTGAACTAACATCCGGATGTTTCGACTTGACGAAGTCGAGATAGCCGCGAACCGTCCAGTCTGACCCAGCAAGGTATTCCTTGGCTAATCGAGCGTAATATTTGGTGTCCATGTTTGCAGTCCGTTCGCGAAAGTTTAGATCAGAGATATTTATATGCCGCGAAAACTTGACAGTCCCGTGACTTCTGAATGACAGTATACTGCAGATGTTGCTACAGCAGATCTGAAGCCCACGTGAAATAAATACACGTACCTTCTATTTTCATAGATACTGTATTATCTAGTATTGTGGCACATATACAACCCTTAACGTTAATATGGAAATCGATTCTAGAAAGATTTGCGATAAGATTTTCGAAATATGATTGGCTCTCACACACATTTTTATAACTTTTTACGTAGGCATTCTTTGCGAATTTTCACAAAATTAGTGCGCCGCCAAAACGCACAGTAAGAGACGTCTAGTTTCCATAATCACAAATAATCTCTCGCGTATAGCTTTCTTTAAAAAGGTAAATTGCGAGTTCGTTTCGAATAAAGCACAAATGTACTAACGTCGCGAATTTTAGTGTATATATACAGTATATTCCATACGATAACTGATGCGATTTTGGTACAGAAGGCTAAAGACTTTGCACAAATATTGAATATAATAGTAATGACGATGAAAATCGGTTGAGGGAGGAGCTGCATGCAGATATTGGAGCACTTGATCTGCGAAACGAGATGAACGTTGAAACTTATATCGATTATCCGGAAGAAACTATTACAGAAGTGATACTTACAGATCATAGACTTAGTCACACATGAAGTTGAAGACGTGGAAGATATAGAAGTGGAAGATGTAGAAGTGGAAGATGCAGATGTAGAAAATTTAGACGAGGATTATAGTGTTGAAAGACAAAGGGTTACCCACAATAAGGAGGCGCTTAACAAGATATTGACGATGTTGTCAGGTACGTGGATTAGTACGATTAAGTAAGATTGTAAGACGACTTAAGGACGCTTCTCGGAAGCAAACAAGTATTAGGAGCTTTCTACAATGATAGATAATTTTTCATTAAAAATTTGAATAAACGTCCTTTTCTCTCAGTTGAAACCTACAACCGTTAATAGTTTGCAGACATAGTATTAATATTAATATTAGTATATTATGCGAAGAGGTCACGTGAAACAAAATGATTGGCGTTCTCTAAATGCACGCTCTCTATAAATGCAAGCACTCAGAGAGGAGGTTTGACTGTACATGTATTATAATACAGTATATAATAGATAGAATAATATCTAATATAACAACATTCTCTCATTATTGTATAGTCGATAGGATAATGTATATTGTATATACTCACGTCGTGTAAATAATTATCTGCATAAACAACCATGTTATAACGTATATAATTCTCGCTTTGTAATAACAAATAATCTTAATAATATCACATCGTTCTATTTGTGTAATATATTTATTATTTATGATAGATAGAAAAAACGATGAATGAACAGAAAATAAGTGGAACTGAACGATTGCTTGACTACTTAAGAAAACCGACCAGGGAGATAGACCTGGGGTCTAGTTTTTTTTTAAAAATTATAATGACGATTTATACTCAGGGTTTTATAGCGTTTCTAAGAATGCTCTAGTTGGATAAGGGCATATTGTCTGCGGCCTTGTATAGATTATTCAACCTCGAATTGTACCGTAATTTCATTTAGTGGAAAACTTAAAACCTTCGATTAAGAAAATATAAGCTATCACTATGCGCAAAGAATTAAATAATAATCCTGAGTCGAAAGATTATAATGGCTAGGTTCAACTAATGTGGTAATCACAAGACGGGAAATACTTTTGTCGCCGATTGTTTTTTCCTCGAAGCAATTATTTACGAAAGTAATAAATATTTGTCTTTTTATTAGAATATGCTATTCTTCTATCCGCTAATACTAAGCTGCTCTTTATGTAATAATATTTCTTATTCTGTGTAATTGTTTGGATGTGAAATTCGGGGTTTGTGCAAAAGAGACATTTGGGTAAACTCTATCTATAAACAGAGAATTTATGATCCTCTTTCTCTGTTGAAATCTGAAGTTGCGAAGCTTCGAGGGGGGAGGAGAGACAGCACCATCGCACACATATTATGGAAAACTTCCATCGGTCAAACTTCAGTTGGTTTCATTATACCATAAGCGAATGGTGGCTTCAGGTACATCACCAATTATTAAACTGACTTCTAATTACAATGAATCAACATGTGGAATTAACGTAGTTTTTGCTAACGGTCTATTTCTGCTGAAACTGAGATTTACTTTCTTGTAAGTGGACCAAAATCGATTTTCCGTACCTAGGCTAGGGTAGACAGCAATCCTGAATATAAGTATCATAAGGGTTTGTCAATTAACAATATTACTATTTATATTAGTATACCGCATGGTCTCCCGGCGTCAGATCTTATTATTTATACGATCAGAATGTTCGAGTATGTGTGTTGGTACATGAGTAACGTATTTTATTAAATTCGAGTGCTCATCTTATGTCTCGCCTTTACTTTTTAAACAAATACGTTAACGTCTCACAGACAATCTCTCCTATACGCGATTTTGATACTCAACTACCACACGAAATAGAGGAAGACGGGATACCAAACAGATATTTGTCAATATATTACAATCACGTTCGTACCTCTCCCAAACACTTATATACGCAATACTCTTCCGGCACTAGATGCTACATTATTCGTGGCTTGTAAGATTGCCAAGTACAACGTGCGGATAAGTCCATAAATCGCTTCCCTTCACTACATCGCTCTCAATATGCACACAAATCATACTTGAATCAGACAAGAGACATACACAATTGACATTCATCGACTAAGAGAAATGGGTGACGACGCACGTCTAACTGACGTTAGCACAGTAAGGTAATTAGATGAGGTTGCCCAGAAATCTTTGGGAAGACACGAGACGGCAGTATTAACAGTTCGAACAACTCGAATAGTAATGCCAGTACCGTATGTGCATGCTTGCTTGAAGTTGTATTTGAGGGGACTACAAATTAGCGTTCTCATGCGAACCACTGCAATATAGATTATCGCTACTGCTAATGATGTTGCATATATCTGTGTAGGAACCGAAGTCGTTAGCAACATTATCACCAGCTATTATCACGAACATATTATTTGCGGTGAGTGTAAACGAGAGTGTGAATCATTACTATTACTCATGAATTATTTACTACTAAATATTTCACGTTACATACACACTATATGTTGCAGCTGAACAGGGTGCACATTACGATGCTGGTACCGATAAATCTCTTTAACCATTTTCACTAGTATCGCCTGGAGGAATATTCAGAAATAGAAAATAAATTGGCAGAAACTAAACAGAAAGTAACGCGTTTTTTTATTTTTTTTTTATTTTTTTATATATATATAAAATAAATAAAAAAAAATAAAAAAACGCATTATATAGATATAAATTTTGTTTTTCCGGCGTTTTGTGGTTCCAGCATATTCGCGAAATCGTTCATAGATTTGTCGGTCTAGCTCATCGCGGTCAGTAATCACCGTGTTATAGTTACCAATAATAGAAGACTATTTTGATTAATCATGTGGTTGCTTTTAGGAAGACTACTGTTGCCCCCTCGAAGAATCAAACCAATTGAATCTGTATGTCCAAATTTAATCGTACGTAATATTCCGTGTCAATTATTTGCATACACATGAATAACAGTTATCAGTAACAGCGGATCCTTGGTTGTTGAGTTAGTGATCGGTATATCCAAATCCAAAGCGTACTTAATGTCAATTTTTTGCACACACATTGACAACAGTTATACTTAACGTATGTATGAATTCATGAGCATTGAATTCGTGGTTGTTGTGCTATTAGTGATTGATGACGAAAATTGATTTCGCGTCTTCGGCAAGCCAATCGTACATATTATATAAAGTATATACCATTACGTCAATACGCTATCCGAATGTGAAGGCAATAATGAAAGAGGTTAAGTTAATCAGAAGCACATTTCTTCATGACTCTTCATGACTAGTAATGCAAATTGTTCTCGCAATGGGAAGCTTACATGGGGTAATGGAATTGCTGACAGCCAAGACTGTTGGTATTTACGTAAACTCGCGGTAGCTGTTGTAACGGCGAGTTGTATCTCAAGGCGTATAAGGGAAACTTTAGTGGCCCGCTAACAGAATAGTCTCCGATTTCGCATTGCGCTCTCGCTTTACCCATATACGCATATATATGTATGTACCTATTTGAAGGCCTCTTACTATGCTTGCATCACCGATTCACACAATCTCAGCTGTATTAGCATGTTCTTTCATTGGCCACAAGATGCTACATATATATTCATCTTGTTTTGTCACCGATTTGAAGGCCTCTTACTATGCTTGCATCATTGATTCACGCGATCTCAGTTGTATTAGCATGTTATTTGCATTGGCCACAAGATGCTACATATATATTCATCTTGTTTTGTCACGGCCTCTTACTATGCTTGCATCATTGATTCACGCGTTGCAAGATGCATTCATCTTGTTTTGAAGGCCTCTCACATGACATGAGTTAGTCAGACACATCATCGATTTGCACGATTCCGACAACAAGCTATACAAGAAGTCCGAGGATGGGAATCTTTTGAGTATACATGTACACTCCATATCTAGGTACAATTGCAACAAAAAGATAATAATGACATACTCACACATAAACGGCTAATGTCGATATCGGCCATTTTTGAATCTTGTCTCTGCCGGCAGCTTTGTTAAAGCTCTGTGCAACTTATCTTGAAAGTGTCTGTAGCCTTCGACTCGACCGCTTGAGAACGAGCGGGTTCCACTACCCAGTATTATTGAGTAGATCACTGCCCTCTCCCAAACTCCCTTCGGATACCTCAGCGAGCTCTGGTAGAGCAAGGTCGGGCAAGATAAAACTTGGCGGAGCCTCACCCCGAGCCAGAACGGTCGAGAGGAGAGAAAGCGGGTTGTACATGCCCTGTCTGGTGGGCATACTCGCGGCCTTGCTCCCCTAGACAGAGGACGGGTCAGACTGTATCGGGTAACCCCCCGAGTGTCTTTGCGGAACTCTGCCCTTGGAAAAGCCATGCGTGCCATAGTCCCCCCCCCCCATTAAAAAGTATTTTTGTCACATGACATACGCATGACTGATCGAGCGTTTCGGTACAGTCACGTTTTTCACTGATACCCTCTGTTGCAAAAGTTTCGTTCCGTTTTTGATAGATCGGTTTCTTTTTTGATACATCTGCGGCAAAGTCACGTTTTCTACAATCCCCAGAAAATTATCCGATGACACTATACATGAACGTCAAACACAAAGAAAGTATCCGAACTTTGAAGCGAGGACTAACAGTAATAGTAAGTAATTAGTTGACAATAAACTAATATTTCTTGAACTAATATGCAAAATTTTTTCCTTTCAGCAAAAAGCCAACTCACTTCGGTCTCAAAAAAAGTCCCGTTCCGATGAGTTGCTGTCACAAATTCCTATCGGAATTATATCAGGAATTTACCTGCCAGGTCGCACAACCTGCCACGTCGTACGAGCTCAAATACTATTTTTTCATTGGATGCTCAGCTTCATAAATGGAAATATTATGGGCTGTACAACCTGGCAAGCTGTGTGACTTGGCAGCTAAATTCCCGATTATCGTATAACGGCAAGATCAGTTATAATACTTGTACCGTGAGCGACTCTCAACGCGTTATTTTCTTATTAAGACCCCAAACTACAGACTACCGAATTGATCCACTGGTAGATAGTAGAGATTTGTTTCTCGAAAATAATTAATTATCTAGGATTAGTGTGTGCGATCCGTATACGAATACGTCAGCACGTCAACGCCAAATTAACAGGTCAGTTACGATTTAGTTATCTCTGAGGTAAGCCACACTCCTACGACGGCATAGCTAGTTATCCGACTATTGCCTCGACAGCTCACATGGTTACTGAGATTCTCGAATCATATTGCAAACTACTTAATGTCTTACAGTGCAATAAGGCACGATTATTTCAAGTAGTGCATAGTTTGAGTTACCTCATTCAGTTTTGGCAACATAGTGTGCTTGCAACACAACTAATTACTCGACTGCTCCTTTTATTGTCTTGTTTATTACACCCTGAATATCGAATGAAAAATTTTAGTACTGCATGCTCCAAGGCAAACTATTCAAGTTGGTAAATGGCTCATGTATTACTATCGCGTATGGTCTGGAAAGGAGCTGACATGGAAAAATATCCATTTGACAACAATACGTATAGACAGTTTAATGGTGCTGTGTGGCGTTATTGGGGTTATGTAAGTGTTTTAACAAATGAGTGTGGCCTGCAGAATTTTCGGGATATCTGTAAATGCAGCGTTTGTTGAGAGTTGCAAAACAATCAACGCAATCGGTTAATGGTATGTTATTTTCAAATAAAAGGTTATGTTTAGGCGGTTTGTCTTATTTTCTTAACACAATTTCGCATATTACACAGTCATTGAAAGCACTTGAAATGAGTCGGCTGAGAGCTGATATTACATAACCGCCCTATTTAGAATTAGCATTAAAATTTCCCCTTCGATTCTGTGATAGATTAATTGTTGTTGTTATTCTATCGTAGGTACCCTTATTTAGATACGAGCCTAGGAAAAATACGTCGCATAGGGTGTGAAAGTGAAGCGCGCATATAATAATTATTGTCACTTATCAGTTTAATTCACCTTTAATTGAGCAATCATTGTAGTAAGGGCAGCGACACGAGCAAAATTGTGAAACCCACCCTCGGCAGAACACACATACGCAAATTAATTGCTCTCCCAACCCAAATTTGGACGCCGACCGTAACACTTCTTATTGTTAATAATATTGTCCCTATTATGTATTTCTTCATTTTTATTAATCCATTCTTCGATGGCTTCTAGCATCCTCTTCCTCGAATTCGTTTTTCGTTTTTGAACGTAGAGGTTGCAATGCCTTTTCCTTCGCGTAGCTTGCGGATTTCGGTTGCCATTTGATTAAATGAAAAATTGGTGTCCAATTCGAGCCTTTTTGTCAAATAAGATTTTAAAGCTCTTCCACAAGTTTCGGTTTTTGATGGATAGTCAATGTTGGCCGATTTGTCCGGTTTTTTTTTCGGCTCCATTAAATTGATTAAGTCATCAATTTTTGATTTATAATATGCAGCTAATCTTTGTGAATTTTATAATAAAGGGAATAATCCAAGGATAATTCCGATCAATAATTCAAGAATAAATTCGCTTGTGAAAGCAAACATTTTAAAATGATAAAGTCTGTTGGACAGATTTTGTTAAAAACAGTTTGCGAAGTTTTTCGTAAATAGCTCAATTTCAGTCGTTTTTTATAGCAAACCTTTCTTGAGTCATGATATTCGAACTAAACGTCATTAATGCGTAATCAACATGCGTGAATTACTGCGTATCAATTATCATTGCATACAATGGAAACAATAGCAGCAATTGTGAAAAGATCTCGAATGTTCCTAATCCTTACATCATTGATTAAGCAGCGTTAGTATACTGTATATTTAGGGGGGGGGCAAATTCAGACAATCTGATTTGATGCTTGCAATTGTTCCGCAACGTGATACGCCGTTGAGCGCAGTAAGATATAAACGCGCAGCTAACACGTTCTTTCTTTTTCTTTGCAACATGGACAACGTTGATCTAGAAGCATATGATGAGCTTGCTACCTAATACACAAAAAACCATCCAAATGCTAAACATGGAGCAATTTTCCAAGCATACTTGCAACAACAGAACAACAAAAAACAACAAGGTAAGGATTGAGTTGGGACATAGAGCAGAGCAGAGCCTAGCAAAGGTTAGGTTATACGTGAACTTGTTTCAAAAGCAAATAAGCAGGATACTATACACTTGGGTTAAGTAGAATAGGAGTGATGGTGGGAATGTTGTTGCAGTTCCACTTTTAACATTTCCTGTCTCATGCTTTTTTCTTTCTGACTTCATTATTCGGACTGGGAATGGGTTAGATGTGTGAACAGAATCAGGTTTTGGATTGTTGCAGCAATAGGCTGTGTCACTGCTGATTTGCCACAAGGGAACGATTTTGCAAGGGTGAAGAGACATGGAGCAAATCATGGGTGCCGTACTTGCATGGCAGATCAGATGCACCTTACAGATTCTAAGTATGACTACATTGCCAATGCACGATTCAACCAAGAAACTGAAAAAAAGATTGAACGGCTGGAGGATCTGTCTACCTCACTAGCACAAGAATGATGGTCCACAGAGCATGGCCTTATGCTAAAACCAGGACCCTTAGAACATATTGTAAGTATATTTTATGTGGCTAGTTTTATGATTTCTTCATGATTCTGTTCTGTCTATAATTATCCACTCATTTCTTGCTATTCAAATGAATTCAGATCTCAGGTTTTCCACAGAAGAAACAGTCACAGTTCGGAATGCTTTTGATTGATACAGTTGAAAGGATTGTCCCTCTCTTTAAGGCAATCCAATCTGTATACAAGGAGTATGCATTTGACTGGATTGAGGTGGAGGTTAAAAGCATCAAGGATGCCAAAGCATTTACAGCTTATCTCAGATCAAATCGGCAACAATACATTTCGTTTTAATGAGGTTGAGAAATACCTGGAGGTGTTTGAACTCCTTTATGCTCTTGTGGTGAGTAATGCTTCCATTTGTGCATGTATATGTAGAGCAGATCCCACAGAGCTTCATATTTAATATTAATTACTTTTTGTGTTTACTTATACTCCCCAGAGTGCACTAGAAGAGCAAGCACATAGGTTGAAGGGGCTGAAGCTTACCAGTTTCACTGATGATGCACCTACAATTCGTGAATGGCTGTGGGTTCCAAACTCAATTGCAGTATGGAAAGGAGATACAGTGAACTCTCCCTAAATGCACTCTCCCTAAATGCACAGTCTCCCTAAATGCGTGCTATTTGATGGTCCCAACCTCGGGACTTAATGATAAATGCACACTCTCTATATTCTGCACGTGCAATGAATTTTGCGGTCCCGGCTATATGAAATAATCTCCGTAAATGCACACACGTGATCTAGAAGCTAAATATGGTATAGTCAGTCAATGTCCATGACCAATGAAATTCGGCGAGTTAAAGACTTTACCATTCCCAGGTCATAAGACAATAACAAATTATCGGATCATAAAATGTAACGAATAGAGAATCCATGCTATAATCATTCCACTTTACTATTACGCAAGCGAACTATTTTCTGGTATTCGAGATGAGATAATACAGTTCTGTAATAACATCAGGTCATGTATTTATTTAGACATCAATAGTCAACAGTGGACGAACATCTTAATATCATATTCTGTAATAATTTACGATTGTAACAGTTAGCCACTATTTAAGCATGCCATCGTGGTCATAGTATAAAATCGTTTATAACTAATTGTTAGTTCGAGGATTGTACTGAAATTTCACCTTTAATAAAATAATTCATCATGCCGCCAAAAAGTAAGACAACTTTGACAGATTCGCAAAAATACGAACTTTGCCTGTATGCTCGCGATCATAAGAAATCTCGTGCAGAGTATGTTAATTGGATCGAAAATAAATGGCAAGTCAGGGTTAATGTGTCTACTATAACACGAATTTTGCAAAGAAGCAACTAGTTACTTTCTGAAAAAGAAATCATTGCTCCAAATGCAAAAAGAGACAGATCGGTTACATACCCAGAACTCGAACAAGCGCTTAAGGAATTCGTCTTAATGCGGCAGCATCAAACAGTATTAAGTGATGCTATTCTAATCGAGCGGGCCAAAACACTAGCGAACGGACTGGGAATTCCTGAAGGTGCATTAAACTTTTCTGTTGGGTGGCTCCAAAAATTCAAAATTCGAAACAGCATTCATCAAATAAAGCTTCAAGGGGAAGGAGCATCAGTTAATTTGAGTATTGTTGCCGAGGCCCTGCCACAGTTGCATGAAATATGCATTAATTATCCTCCCGAACGTATTTATAACATGGACGAGACTGGCCTTTTCTATCGGTAAATATGGTAATTATGCGTTAAAATATTTAATGTAAAAATTCAATACTAAATTTACTCTTTAGACTGGAGCCAGACCAGTCGTTGGCTACGAGGCGTCTTGCAGGTCGCAAGAAAGATAAAGAACGCCTTTCAATTGCGCTTTGTACAAACGCTGATGGATCGCATAAGCTAAATCCACTTGTAATCGGCAAATATGCAAATCCACGATGCTTTAAACACGTCAATATTCGTAATTTGCCAATAATATATCGAAATAATACAAA